AGCGCAGGAGGGGAAGACCCTCTATGAGGTAGATTGATTCAGTGACTGGGATAATCGGGACGAGAGTGTCAGAGACAGTGCGATTGGCACAAGACAGAGTGGAGTTTAGGGCTGTTGTATATAGGGTCGCTATGAGTCACAAGCGACTTGACAGCACATAATAACAACAACAACAACAACATGGGCAGTATCTTGAATGATCTAAGAAGCATTAAAGGAAGATGAAAGGAACATACAGAGTCACTGTACCAAAAAATATTGGTTGACACTGAAATATATCAGGAGCTAGTATATGAACAAGAGTCAAAGGTAATGAAGGAAGATGTTCAAGCTGTGCTAAAGGCACTGGCAAAAAATGAAGCCCCAGGAATCGATGAATACAAACTGGCATGTTTCAGCTAACAGTTGCAGCCCTGGATGTGCTCACCCGCCACGGGGTTGTCACATTATGGAGGCAAACATCCTCATCTTTATCCCTCAGAGCAGCTGGTGGATTCAAACCTCCAATCTTTCTTTTAGCAGCCCAATGCTTTATCCCTGTTGCACCTCCAGGGCTCCCAGTTTTGTTCAGAGCATAATAAAGATTAAATCTACTTTGTTCTCCTGGGATATGGTTATAGAGGAGCCTCTCACTTTCCATAAAATGCAATAAGCTTTTGAAATCATCCCAGTCTGTACAAGGTACACAATAAAGTCAGGAGTGGCTTCAATTAAAACTCCTATGAAAGTGGAGACTATTTGGCTGGCTCTTGGTTGTGCTGTGAGGGTGAAGGCTCTGCTACAGTTTCTATTACAGACACGGTTTCTCAGATTTTGTGCTGCTGTGATTTTAAATTGCCCTCCAGAGGGGCTTTCAGTTAGCATGACTCTCTGGAGACTCCTGGGAGTGGTGGTTAGGAGCCTTGATGTGTGTTTGCCACACGCCACTACAAAGGCGAGCCCTGCCGATGGTTTCACTTTCTCAGTCTTAGAAGGTAGAGAAAGAATTTAGTTGCTATGACCTCAGGCCCTTGGCCTGACCCTAGAAATCCCCTTGCCACACACAGCTTAATCATGGAAATGCAAAATGCCAGACAGCAAAATTACAGAGACCAAGGAAAGTCAGAATTCCCTAAGTCGCCAAATCTGTGGAGGAATGCATGGATGGGGTTTCTTTTCTTCCAAGTTTGTGTTTATTGAAGTGTGCCAAGGGTGAGGTGGTACAAGTGTGCTCTGAGATGGCTGTACAAATCACCAGCAGAGAGAAGGCTGCTTCTAGCATTCCACGTCGGACTTCCTGGAGCTCATTTAGCTGGGTCTGGACAATGCCACTCTAGCTGCCACTAAAACTCAGAAGCCATATTTTCCAGATTGTCTTGATTTCCCCAGCTATTTTGGGCCCAGACCTAACGGCCGCTTAACCACAGAGGCCTTAGAATTGAGTCAGGCATTTCATATCTTTTGTTAGTTTTAAAAATAAATCTTCCCTCCAGAAAGAAATATTGGTCTCCCCTAGGAAGCCTGAGCATGAATTTGCTGCATTTCTCTCAGATTAGAACTCAGACAGATGTCTAGAAGTTCAATGGCACAGCATCATGTTTCACAATACTTCACCAAACTCTAGTGCTCTCGATTTTTCTGGGCACCGTGGGCTCAAGCATGCAGCCAGTAAAGACTAGCTGATGTGTTCTGTCTGTGGACAGCTGCTCTGGATGAGCGGACATTGGCAAATGACCACTTACAATTTCAGTGGCCTTCCCAAAGTGAAATTCTTAGAGGCAACTAACACTTAGCCACGTTCAGGTCTGTTGTTCATAGGATTGCTACTCAACTCAAAAGCACCTAAGAACAATTAGGCAGTGAGAAAGGCTGGCCCTGGAGTCCCTGGGTGGTGCAGATGGCTTTTACACTTTGACTGCTAACTAAAAGACTGGAGTTTGAATTCATCCAGAAGCATGTGAAAGGAAAGTGTGGCAACCAACAACAACCACAACAAAAGCCCAGCCTGTGAAAATCCTATGGAATACAGTTCTACCTTGATGAACATGGGATGACCATGCGTCAGATACACTTGATGGCAATGGTGAAGGCCTGATTGATGCTTTCCCTCTGTTCACTTGGCAACTGAATTATAAACCTGCAAAGTGAACAGCCTATCAAAATTAAATCATAATCAAAATTAAATCAATTTAGTAAATCCCCATCAATTAATTAAAATGTCATGCATCTTCAGTGTACCAAATTTTATGATATTTTTTCTCAAGGAATTGCTGACTCAGGTGCAAAGAGCACAAAAACAGACAAGCAGCACCTGTGAGGTGGTTTAGAGTCTTATTAGAATCCCAAAGAAGAGAAAAACAACACACATTAAGAAAGAGATGGTACTTGAGATGAGCAATTAGGAGCTGATAAGGAAAGAACCTAGCAGGTGTGCTAATGCATTGTTTGCTGGGCCCATGGAAATTCCTAGAATCCCTTGAGCACTGATTGTAGGCATGAGAGCCAGAGAGCACACTGAGGAGTAAGTTGATCGAGCCACTCCCTGATCACTTCATTCTAAACCCTTAAATCTAGCACAGGAACAATCATTTTCACAAACAGGAAAAAATGCGTGTGCCCTTAACACAGGGTGATAGGTAGAGAAAGGACTGAGGTTAAAGGAAGTAGCTGAACAGCTGGCTTTCACAGTGCTGACATCAAGAAGACAAAGATTCCTGCCACTGAGCCAATGGGCAGCACCACAATGGATGGAGAAGAGATTGAGGTTCACAATCAACACTCTTGTACCAGCAGTCAAGAAATGAAAAGACAAATTTCACTGGGAGAATCTGCAGTCGGTGACCTCTCCAGAGTACTGAGAAACAATGATGTCAATCTAAGACCAAGGTGCACCTGATCCAAGCCATGATCTTTGCAATTACTTGCTATGCGTCAGAGAGCTGGATAATGACTAAGGATGACAGAAGAAGAATCAGTGCCTTACTCAAGAATGTGTATTAATAAACATTTGTATGTGTATAAATGTGTTTTAATTGGCCTTAGGGTAGTCCAAGTAGACTTTGATCACCTGTTACCTAAAGGTTGGAGGGGCACCATCACAGAAGCCCTAGAGATCTGCTTCTGTAAAGATCAAGTCAAGAAAACCTTATGGAATCCTGACAAATGGGATCTCCACACGAATCAACTTTATGGGAAAGTTTTACATTTACATTTATGGTTTTACATTTCTGGAACCCTAGTGCTTAGGCCTTTCATTCATAGGGTCATTATGAGTCGTCTACGACTAGACGACACCTAACAACAATAACAACGACGGCATAGAAAGAGCTACGTTGACCTAGTGGACAGAAAGTTATGCTACCAAGCCCAAGGTGGGTGATTTGTAATCTGCGGCCCTCAGGCCGGGTTCAAATTGTTTTTCTGTCAAACATTCTTCTAGGTGGTGTAGCACTGGTCTGTGCATTGCTGTACAGAGGTAACTTGTGGTTGCTGTGATTCTAAACACTGTGACACTGATGTGCCAAGTGTGATAATGGTTACCCATGTTGGACAGTGTTTGCTGGAGCTCACCGATTAAAACAAGCCTGGAAGCAGGAGTGGTATCCACTTCTGAAATGGCTTGTCTCCAGAAACTCTATGAGCAATTCTCAAGCCTTTCATTCATAGGGTTGCTATGAGTTGTCTACGACTCGACAGCACCTAACAACAACAGTGGTTGAGTGGGTGCATAGTTGGGCTGCTAATCCAAAAACAGGCAGTTTGAATCCACCAGAAGCTCTGTGAGAGAAAAAATGAGTAATCTCCTTTCCTGCAATTTACAGCCTCTGGAAACCTGCAGTAAAGTCAATCTGTTCTGACTCAATAGCAATTAGTAGAACTACATTGACTGCTTGTGTGTCAAGCCCTGAAAACTTGGCTGACATAAAATGAAATGAAGAGAAACATTTACTTTTTTAGAGTTAACACTAAGAGATACCTAAGGAAAAGTCTTTATAAAATCATCTGGCATAAAGAACCCGACTCAGTGGACAGCAGGGTTTGCTCAATCTCTAGCCTGTGAGAAATGGATCACCCAGCTCTTCTCTGCTACGTACCTTTATCCTTGGGGCTTCACTGTGTCTGATAATAATTTGGGAGTGACTAGGTTCTCTTCAACAATTGAGTTTCATGTCTCACAACTGTTTCTCCCGTAACCAGGTCCCTGAACTTCCACTCATTGCTTGATCAGTATTGCTGCTTTCTCTCAGACCCATAACTTAACCTTGTTAGACCTTAACTTTGGATAGAAGACCAACTACTTTCACGTTTCTACATCTACCATTTTATTTTACCCTACAGAGTAATCCATTTGCTACCTGTCTCTTATCTCATAACTCTTAAGGTCACCTACACTTTCCTTAGGATTAGATTCAAAGCATGGCACGCAGGTGAATCCTCTTTAAGGGCCTGACCTTCCCAGGCTGGCCCCATGTCATAAATGGATGAGGAGGGGGCTGTTGAAGTCACCAGGCGTAAGTTTAAGTTTGGACTAAAAATGCAAGACGATCTCCTTTGCAAAACTACGCTTGCAAACTGGGGAACAGGATCTGTAGAGGTTTGTTTGCTGAGCATATATCTTCAAGGTGGAAAGCAAAAGCTGGGCCTCTCTTTGCTTTTGGCTGCCCTGGAGCAATTGCTTTAGTTCACAGTAATTGTTCCGCTTTAAACAGAACAGGTTACCTTGTAAGCCTCAGTAATTGAGTTAAGGTCTGTTTGTTAAAATACAGTGAGTCTGGAGCCATGAAGTCTAAACCGTGACTCTGAGCTAGTGTCTACAGCTTGTGTCTGAAATTTACCTGATCAAACTGCTTGCTTCTCTAAACAAGGAAGCAGCAGGATGAATGACATATATTGGGGGTGGGGGAGGAGGTGGAGGTGAAGGATACCTTGCTTAAGTGTAAGAGCGGAATAACTATTATTCTTCTTTACCTTTGAACTATTTGCATAATGAACATTTTTCCTGTCATTATTTTTATAATTACCTCAGCTATGACCCAACCTTCATCAGCCACTAAGGTCAAAGGAGAAACGAATTTCCCGTTCTTGTAGTGGAACCTGCTTGGAATGGCTTCTTTCTCATAGACTGTCATGTGCTCCACTGTTCTCAGTGCGTTATATATCTGCAAGGAAAATAAAAAATTATCAGGTTTACATTCTCTTTTTCAGTTCTTTAACTGGGGGAGGGAGATCTTTTAAAAGCAATGAAAGAAATTGTGAGAAACAAAACCCAGCTAGATCTGATTACATGAAAATGAGAAACTTTTGGATCCCTGGCAAAACAAATGTGGGCTTATCTACTAAGACTGAAGCCTCACATACCTTATAATCTAATAAGTCAACCATTAGGGATATAATGAGAAATCTCATACCTATGTACTTAAGGATGTACAGAGGAACGTACCCTGCAAATCAGAATACTACAAATGAAGCATGATGTGTTTTTACAGTGTGATATAGCAATCAAGAGGAGCAAATAACAGCAACAAAGAACTCAAGTAAGATTGTTAGGAGTCTCAGACTAAGAAAAGAGACAAGTTGGAGAAAAAAAATAAAAGTAGGATTATTCAAGTTCAACTAAAGGAAAAGGGATTGTAGAAATACTATTTTCTTCTTCAAAAAGAACTAAGATGGATATAGTTAAGAGATGAATCAGGTATGGACATTTGTCCTCTTTCTCATATATTTAGTGAGCATGAATGTCTATCAAAACACTCTTTTACACTGTATACTAATTATTTTGTATTTAGCCAACAATGAATAAACAAATTACAAAAACCTATGATAAAAATACCATAATCAAAGACAAATGTGAAATTGAGTCTCATGGTAAATACTACAAAGACCAACAAAAGAAATTTGATTTGTTCCAACTTGACCTAGAGCATGTTCTACTTACACTTGTAACTTAAAAGAACTAGTAATTATTTGCTATTAATGACATCACTGACTTATGAACACATAAGCTTAGTACACATTTCCAAAAATTCAATAGCATTTTAAATATTTAAAAAATTAAGCCAACTGGCTGGTGTTGGTTTGCTGTCCTTCAACCAAATAAGACATGTAGCCCTGGTTATGACTGAATGTAAAATTGGGTTTACGAATCCAGCTCTGAAAAAATAGCTAGTCTTCAGGCTGTTTGGCAGATGATTTCTGGCACATTCGTGAGTTATGAATTCTTACGAAGGAAAACCTGTAGTTGTTAAGAGTATACTTGCAGAACGATGCTGGAAAAGTGAAAACTCTGATGGCATACAACAGGTCTCACAAACTGTTAGACCCATCACATGACAAACTGCCACCCAAACACACTCCCACTTTTGAATAATCTACTGACTGCTCTAGGCTGCTAGAAACTGCCTGACTTAAACACCACATTGGAAGCAGCTCTTCCCAACTCACAAGCTGTTGATGCTAAAGCATTCTGGAGATGATGGCACTTGCCTAAATGCCAAGTTGGAGAGACAGACCATCTCCCTTGCCAGTAAAACAGAACTGCTTTGCAAGAAGCTATGCATTGTGAGATCTGACAATGTGTTTGTTTTGTTGTTTTTTTGTTTGTTTGTGTTTTTTTAAAGTCCTTCTTGAGTTCACATTTAGGGAGTTCATTAGTACATAGCATGAACATACTCAACACCTCCAGCTCCTGACCTGGATCTCGCTGACCTGGGTCTACGAGAAAAAGAGAACAAGGCAAAGCTGGCAAGTAGTGGTTTTGTCAGAAAAGGTGTTCTTTAATTGCAAGCTTTAAAAAATGTGTTAGCTGCCATTGAATTGGTTCCTGGCTCGTGGTGATCCAAAACACAGTGGAAAAGAACATTGCCCTGTCCTGGGCCGCTCCCTCTGTGACTGGTGGAGATTAGACTATTGTGATACATTTTCATTGAGTAATCTTTGGAAATAGGTTGCTAGGACTTTATTCTTAGCTCATCCTAATCTGAAAGCTTTCCTGAAAATTATTCAGCACAACAGCAACATACAAGCCTCCAACAACAGTGGTGGTTGCACTTAAGGTACACTGGCCTGGAATGGAAACTGGATAGTTTGTTTGGAAGGTGAGAATTTTTTCACTGAATCATCACTGTTCTGCAATTGCAAAAGAGACATACCTATTAGAAAAATGGGGGCAATTAGAAGCAAAGACTCCACCTGGGTCTATAGCAAAGCCCTCGGTGAAGCTGGCATATATTGACCTATGCCTCCTTCCTTCATAAATCCCTATCACTGCTCTAAGGCTGAATGGAGGCACCAGGCCATGGCACCTGTTTCTACTTCCTTTGCTGGTTATAGCCTAGACCTCCCAGAGAAAGAGTCACTTCCTGGGCCAGGGAATTATGTCCAGAGTGGGCATAAAGTTTGTATTGGGAAAACATCAGAGAGTGTGAAGGCAAAGAAAGAAGAAGAAAAAAAACAACAACCATTGTTTCTCCATTCCTCAAGGTGACTTACAAAGTCCTGCCACAGAAGATACTGTTTGAGGAACAGGGTAAGTAGTGATCTCTTTCTCTGTGGTGAGTTCCTGCAGAGCACTGACTGTGGGGAGTGTAGCTGCATCCCACATCTACCTGTCTGTGGAAACGCAGCTTAATCCCCATGTGAACAATCCCACCTTTGAGGATGATAATTGCAATTACAAACATACAAGTGGTTCTTGCTGTGGGCTCAGTAGGCATGAAGAAAGCTCCTCTTTTCACTGTCTTTGAGTGTCTTTAAGGCCAACTTAAATACTTTGTCCAATTACCAATTCATGACAGAGGTGGGGTTTGATTTCAAACAGTATAGTTCCTAAAAGCTGACCTATATATGCATCTGATAGCTCTCAGATTTGCCTGAGAAATGCTAAATTTTGGTCAGGAATAACTCTATAATTGCTAGTAACTACTCCCACTACTCATATTTTGGGATTTTGGACTGCGGTTGGCTGTATGTTGGTATGATGCTAAAAGTTAGGCCACTGGTGTTTTATCAGTGGAGAAGTATCAGCAGAATTTCCAGACAGAGGCCTATTAGGAAGTGATGTATTTTGAAAAATTAGGCCAAACCTTATGGATCACAAAATACTACCTTCTTTAGTTCTGCAAGATAACTTTATAAGATGGAAGGCAACAATAGATTTAAATATACAGGCGACCATTAGGATTGTGCAGAGCCAGGTAATATTTCATAAAACTGAAAATGGGTCACCAGTTGTCCACCAATTGTTGGAACCAATTCAACAATAATTAATAACATCAAGTGCTTAAGTGATGCACACCTTAGTCTCATTCAATTTCCATTAAGACTCAGTGAGGTAAATTCCATTATCCCCACGTTGAAGAAGAGAAAATAGAGACAGAGAGGATGAAGATTTGAGCAGAGACTACTTAAAGGAGAAACAAAATAGATCATCTGCCCCCAGAGTTCAAGCACCTAACATTGCTCCATATTTCAGGATAAAAGCTAGCCAGAAGGTAGAGGTGTGAAGTGATGGCAAATGCAGATGTGTCCCTCTCCATCCCCCTCATCTCTCCTCATGGCCCTCTTCCCTCCCCTCCCGGTGTTTCTTGCCTGAGAATGTTTCCCAGGGGCTGGCCAAATGCTCATAACAGATCCTCGGTCCTTCACTTGCTGCAGGTCATCTATATCGATGTACTCAGTCAACTCAATCACTTTGTCCTTCCAGAAGACGTCAGTCATCCCATGATCTGAGAAGATGATGACATTCAAGTCGTCCTGTAAGTCCCATTCCTATGAAGTCAACAGACGTAGTCATCACTGCACTAGACAGAGAATCTCATGCACAGAAAATAGAATGATGAAGCTTCAAAAATATTACAAATTGTAGAAAAGGGATGTTTCTAGTTTAATCATTGACTGGTCTGCCCTAACAAGAAATTATTCAAAATAAAAAAAGAAACAACTCGGGGAAGATGTGAAAGCAATAAGTGCTAAAAAAATAATGCTTCACTTTAGTTTTTCAAAGTACACCCTCTCTTTTTTTGAGGGGCTTTTTCCCCAAAAAATAAACTTGTAATCATGTAATAATATGAAAACTACCATTTGTCCATTTTACAGCAATGAGAAATAAGGCATATAAAAGTTAAAACCACTTATTTGAAGTAACTCGGCATGATGCGGCTAACTCAGGCCCACACTCAAGTTTCGTTCTCAAGTCTTTGCCATATTGGTAACCAAGATGATTAGCATTCTAAAGAATTGAATTGTCATCTCTAGCCAAGTGAGGTGATACTGTAGCCCTTGTTGTTGTTGTTGTGTACCATCGAGTCATTTGCGACTCATAGTGACCCTATGTACAAGAACCCTAAACGCTGTTCTATCCTGTGCCAACCTCGCTGTCTCAAACGCATTCATTCCCACCACTCCACTCACAGAATCGATCCATCTCATCATGGGTCTTCCTCTCCTGCGCCGTCCCTCCACTCTCCCAAACATGATGGCCCTCTACAAGGACCAGTCCCTCCTTGCAACATGCCCAAAGTATGTCAGACGAAGCTTCAGAATCCTTGACTCAGGGAATATTCCGACTTCACCCTCTCCAGGACAAACCGGTTTGTTCTCCTAGCAGTCCATGGTATATTCAACACTCTTCTCCAGCACCACAGCTCAAAGGCATCAATCCTCTTTCTATCATCTCTATTCACTGTCCAACTCTCCGATGCATAGCACGTAATTGCAAAGACTACAGCCTGGAAGAGGTGCACCTTAGTTTCCAGCCTGAAATCATTGCACTTCAGTACTCTTGACAGGTCCGTCACAGCTGACTTTTCCAATGCAATTTGTCTCTTGAAATCCTGGCTGCTGTTACCAAGAGTGTTGTTTGTGCAGCAAAGTAAAATAAAACTGTTAACTGTCTCAATCTCTTCACCATCCATACTGTTGCTGGCAATTGACCCAGTGGTGAGAATCTTTTTTTCTTGATATTGAGCTTCAATCCATATGGAAGACTGCAGTCCTTGGCCTTCTGCAGCAAGTGCTTCAGGTCCTCCTCATTTTCAGCGAGCAGGGTTGTGTCATCTGCATAATGCAGGTTGTTGACGATTCTTCCACCAATCCTGATTCCACATTCCTCCTCATACAGCCCAGCATCTCGGATGATCTGTTCTGCATACAGATTGAAAAGGTATGGAGACAAAATACATCCCTGACGGACCCCTTTCTTGATTTTAAACCATCCAGTGTCTCCCTGCTCTATTCTGACAACTGCCTCTTCATCCAAATATAGGTTTCACATTAGCACAATCAAATGTTCTGGGATTACCATTCTTCTCAGAGTCAGCCACAGCTTGCTGTGATCCACACGGTCAAAAGACTTTGCATATTCAATGAAGCACAGATAGACATTCTTCTGGTATTCTTTGCTTTCTGCCAAGATCCATCTTACATTAGCTATAATATCCCTAGTACCATGACCTCTTCTAAATCCAGCCTGTACATCTGGCAATTCTCTGTTGACATATTGTTCCAAATGTTTTTGGATAATTTTCAGTGGAATCTTGTTTGCATGTGATATCAATGATATTGTTCGATAATTTCCACACTCTGTTGGGTCACCTTTCTTTGGAATGGGAACAAATATCGATCTCTTCCAGTCAGTTGGCCAGCTGGCTGTCCTCCAGATTTCCTGGCACAACTTAGTGAGCACATCCAGGGAAGTGTCTGTTTGTTGAAATAAATCAATTGGTATGCAGTCAACTCCTGGAGCCTTGTTTTTTGCCAATTCCTTCATAGCAACTTGAACTTCCTCCTTCATCACCATAAGTTCTTGCTTATATGTTATTTCATGAAATTCCTCTGTGTCAGCCAATTCCTTCTGATACAGTGACTCTGTGTACTCCTTCCATCTTCTTTTTGTACATTCTGGATCATTCAACATTCTACCCAAACTATCCTTAAGTATTGCCACCCATGGCTTGAATTTGGTTTTCAACTCCTTCAGCTTAAAATACCCTTAGCGAGTTCTGCCCTTTTGATTTCCTGACTCCAGCTCTCTGCACATTTCATTATAGTATCTTGCTTTGTTGTCCCTAGCTGCCTTTTGAAACTTTCTATTCAGCTCTTTGATTTCTTCCTTTAGTTTTGGCTTCTCGGTGCTCTAATGCAATACTCAGAGTCTCATCTGACATCCATCTTGGTCTTTTCTTCTTCTTTAGCCTTTGTAATGATCTTTTGCATTCTTCATGGACGATTTTCTTGATATCCTCCCAGAGCTCATTTGGTCTACACTCATTGGTGCTCAAGGCCTCCAACCTGTTCCTGAGATGGTTTTGAAATTCGAGTGGGACAGACTTAAGGTCAAATCTTGGTTCCCGTGGACTAGACTTAATTTTCCTCAACTTCAGCTTGAATTTGCATATGAGTAGTTGGTGGTCTGTCCCACAATCAGCACCCGGCCTGGTTTTCACTGCTGATATTGAGCTTCTCCAGCGGATCTTCCCACAAATGAATCTCATTTGGAGTGTAAAACAAGGTGTATTTTGGTATCTAATGAAGGGTTGAGTGAAGGAAAGAGACCCAACAAAACATTTGTGCTGGCCTAATCAGCCATCAGCAATGAGAAGGACAACCTTGAGGATGTTGTGGCCAAGGAGACAAAAAGGTGATAGGAGAGGTCAGATCATTGCCCTTGCTTTTGCTTACCTGGATCCACTTGATCATATTCATCATAATAGTGTCCACAGTCTTGAGGGCTTCTTTCCTCTGAGGTGATAAAGGGCCATGGTGGTGGCCTTCCACATCAAGACGCTCATAGTATATGGCAGCCAGGTCAGCCCGTCCACTCCTAGAGGGAAGAAAAGTAACATAGGTGGGTCCTAGCTTCTTTCATCTCACCCATCATATGAAGATGCTGGTACCCCCAAGCACCTGTCCTCTGTGCCTAGCAATAGCCCATCTATTTGTCACCTCTTCTTCAGTAACAGGGAAGGGATAGTTCTTAAAGCTTGATCCTCATAACATTCTAATATGGGGGATCAAAAGCACTGGAATTATTTAAATATTGTCCATCCATCTCCCCAGGGGAAGCTGGTGGATTCGAACTCCATGCCTTTGGAATTGCAGTGGAAGTTCTTATCATTAGGCTACCAGAGCTCCCTTTGTGTGCTGCTTGAGAATTCTCAAATGAGGAAGAATGTCTTGGTAGTAATTTATGAAAAATAATCAGATCACAACAGTACTACTGAGCTTGGAGTTGTCATGAGTGAGCTAATAATAACAACAGCAAAGGTCTCCATTGTTGTGTAAAGCTTCTTGGTTTCACTGGAACCTTTGCATAAATGATGTCATGTAGGATTCTATATTAAAGATCTTAACTGCTTCTCCTGCTTTCTTCCAGAGAGTGTCTTATGGCACATTCTTCTCAAATCCATATCAAAGTGAATAAAGACACAGTACAAACATTGGACTTGACCTCATATTTAAAAAAGCCTTTTGGCCACCAGTCTGGGGCTATTTCCAGGGTGGGAAGTTGAGTGGAATGACCAGATTCTGCTAAAGTGTGTTTTCTGCTTTTTGTGGATCTCCCAAATAAAACAAGCTTGGAAACAAGAATGGCATCCACTTAAAAAAAAAAAAAAAAGGAAAAGAAGAAAAAAAAAAAATAAAAACAGCTTGCCTCCAGAAACTCTATGACCTTGGAGAAAAGATTCAAGTTTTGTGTTCAAGATTTCATTTATCGGGTCACTATGGGTCATCTATGGCTCTACAGAACTTAACAACAAAAAAACTGTGGGAGAAAATGTGTGTGTGTGTGTGTGTTTCTCTAAATCCTATTTAGATTACAGTTATTCACGAAAGCTCTGTACATAAACCAAAAGGGGACCTATGTTCCTCCATTCTGGTCTGATGGAAAAAGAATCTTCACCTAACAGACATCTCAAGATAATTCATGACATTGTTGGCCGTATTGCATGAGCAAGCTACTACTTGCAAAGTAGATTAGTCATGGCTGGCACCCCTGCTGCTCATCCCATTCCTGAAGGAGACAGAGGTTAAACATTTTAAAAGAAATATGTTGCATTACCCCAACTGCCAATCCTTTATTCTTTTCTGTAAGCTCTACTCTCTAAGACAGGCTCTAATGATCCATAGGTTAATGGGAAGAGATGCTTGCTGCTGCTGCTGCTGGTGATGGTGGTCTAAATAATCTTTCTGCCCTCCACATAACAACTGGTTTATTCTTCTTTGTTTGTTTCTCCCATTTTGAGCTCCAGTAGCAGAGATAGCAGATCTCTGACTTTGTACTTAACTATTTAAAGGAGCTTCATATGGTGTCCGTGGTTCCTTGACACTAAAGACCACACAAAAACATAAAGCTTCCCTGGCACAGTCTTCCCCAGGCTTTCAGTGGTCGGTTCCAAGGGGACCCTGCACACTGTAGATGACCTGAATATCATGCTTGGAGTTCAAGGGATGAGCTCAGTCCACAATGTGAATGGGTTGAGATGGACAATGTAGAAGCAGCACCATGGAGAGGTGCAGCCTGGAGACATCATTCCAGGGCAGGTTCTTTGTAGCTTTGCTCTTCTCCTTAAGGGACCACAATCCCTTAGTGCACATGTGAACACACACTCCTGTACCACCATCACCATTTTGAAATAATGTGGAACTTGATGAGTGGTAATAGATTAACAAAGAGCAATAAAGATACAATTCCCCAGTATTCCATGGCAAACTACAATCTCCATAGAGAGAAAAGAGCCCAGTACACATTCCTCTGGCATTCTGGTTTCCCTCGGGGCAGGAAGTCTGTTTGGATGTGCCTGCTTGTTGGCCAGCCCAGGCTGTGGGCACTGTGCTTCCCTGCCTGTGGATCACTGGGTGCTGTGTAATCAGAGTCCCTCCAACTGTTAAGGTGAGATGAATAGGAAGAAATAACTCTGCCAAGCAGAGTGTTGGGTAATTTGGAGATATTCATGTGAAAACTATTTTCCACACGTTCCTATTTGGCATGATAATAAGCTGTAGGGATGGCTAGCATTTTAGATATGTTGGAAGTAACATTGTTGTTGGGACAGAGAACTATTCCAAAGTTCCAGCTCTGCTCATCTATGCACACTCTACGTTCCTGCTTTGCTCACACAAACTCGTCCATAACACGTACTTCCAGCTCATCAGCTGTTTGGTTTTGCAGCACTTGTGGGCAAAAGAAAGCAAAGAAAGCAGAGAGCATTATCACATAACACATGTCCTGTCCTACACATTCCCTAAGGGGGAAAACAATTGATACCTCTTAATTTTTTTTTCAAGTCGTTTTGTCTTCAATTTGTCAATCAGTGCTTGGTTCTTTTAGGTTGAGTTTCATAGAAGTGGTGTCATTCTAAGGAGACCCAATAGTGCAGAGGTTAAATGTTTGTCTGCTAACTGAAAGGCTGATGTTTCAAACCCAATAGGCACTGTGGGACAAAAATGCGGTAGTATGCTTCTGCAAAGATTCATGCCATTGGGCATGCTATGTACTATTCCACTCTGTCCTGTTGGGGTTGCTGTAAGTCAAAAGAAAAGCAACAGCATACAGCAACAGTAGAAGGAGGGTCATTCTAAGAAGCAACAAGGTGTGAGCACACTTTCCTCCTTTCACCGTTCTATGGGGTGGCTGCTGTTGCCCATGATGAGTGTAGGCACTGATGTGATGGAGAATCCAACCCAGAATTCATCCTATTTTAGGGAATCCCAGATACAAGTCAAGTCTAATAATCTGCACACAGACAAGGGTACTCTCATTCTTAGTATCCATTCATCTTGACTCCCACATTCGTTCTTGGAAGTCTTACCTTGGTTTCTACTCTTGAACTCCTTGACTCTACCCATAGAATCCATTAAAGAATGCCAATCCATTCAAGTGCCTGTCCAGCTCTGGACATTTGGAAGACACTAACATCTACCCCTCCTGGTTGTTGGCTGGTATTACCACCTTGTTCCTTATCTTGACTTCCACTTCTAGTGATTCCTGAATGTGTATAAGGCTTTTTCCCAGACCTATCTTGCCCATAAGTTCTCTGACAAAAGTTCTGTGTACAGACAATAGTACTGATTAAAACATTTTCCTATTTCCTGATTAAGTTGTTGTTAGGTGCATTAAACCTATGGCTAAAAGCTTACTTATCCTGTGACTCTTGATTTCAGGTGAGAGAAAAATTGGGTTCCATGTTCTGGTACACTAAGAGCAGAAAATTTCTCCAAATTTGATCATCCAAATCATAGCCAACCCTGCTGCCATCAAGTCGGTTCTAACTCACTGCAATTCCTCTTTAGGTTTTCCAAGGCTATAAATCTTTGTGGGAAATTTACTACTTCATCCACATTTCTCCCATGGAGCTGCTCATGAATTCAAATCCCTAACCTTTCAATTTGCAACTCTACACATTATGTCACCAAGGTCAAATGCTGTTGAATACTATTACTATTTTGGAGAGAAAATTGTTCACTAAAATTAGGGAAATGCTGGCATTTTTATTACTTCTTCATTGCCCAACAACATGAACAATCCTGAGCCCTGGCACTTACTTTTATTCAAAATTTCCAAGAGTAACTTTGCCTAAAAATTATTTTATTATGTTTATGTTTTGCTAGTAACTAATGGTCATTATTTTAGAGGCTTGTTAAGTCTCTGTGATACTATTTCCCCTTCACTTAGATTTCTTAATTCAATTTAGGATTGGTCCTAGAAAGGAGGAATAGCCAGGGCCGGCTAAGAATTTGGATAACTTACTTGAATGAGGTAAGAGCATCTCTGATTGCATTGGTAAAATTCATATCCGTTGGTACATCTTTATATTCTATGCAGTAAGTAGGTCTGATACCAAGAATTTCAACCTCACAGCCTAAGAAGAAAAACAATGATAAATGGTTACCACTTTCAATAATTGAGGTAAAATTTAGAACCAACTTCGGAAAGAAAATACCATTAGTCAAAATACAAATAAAACAAAAATACACATTATTTATTTTTTCATAAACAAAATTCTGTACAAATCAGAAGATAAGAGACCTTCTGATTTAGGAGAGTTTTTTGGCCCTTTAACTGCTGTCTCTGAGACTAGCCTTCGACTCAAAGGGAGAGGCAATATCAATTGTCAGATATACCTCTCTGTTTTTTAGATCTTGGTGCTTCAGACATTTACTGCTTTATATGTTTCTGATTCATGGCACGTACACATGCGTGCACACACATATGCATGCGCGTATATATTCCAGTTTTTTCTAGTTGTTTTCAAAGAGCGAAAAGTTATTTCAAAACAACTTTGCTTGCTATTGAGCCAAAGGGAGCCAGACATTTTGATAAATAAGTTCTGAACATCAAAAGCGGCATTTTATTAGAAATGTATCTCTTAATGAAAGAAACAGCATGTTTTTAAAAATTAATGAGTGTATTTGTGGATGAATATTATTGATCGCTAGACTGAGACAAGTGCCAAGTCAATTCTGTTTCTATTTGTTAAATATAAGTGCTAAGAAAGTTATTCAAGTTATTCATATAAATAAGTAGATGGAAATAGTAGGTGGGTGTACCAATGTCACTCAATTCTCCAAACTGTTTCTTTGAATGCCAAAATTCACATAGTGATCTATCATCATAAATTTTTTAAATAATATTTCAACTGACAACTCAATTAAGTTTTTCTTTAATAATTTAAAGGCAAGAATTGGAAATCTCTGACTTTCAAAAAGTTTTGTTATTTTTATCACTAGATCCATTCACTCTATCCACACCTACATTAATATTTCAAACTGTCCCTTTGCTTCATGTCTGATGCTTTTATATACTGGAGCAATGCAACTTACCAAGATTCTTGGTGGGTGAGAAGTATTTCTTTCTTATGTAAAATAGAAAAAGGGTATGCTTTCAGATCAAGCAATGTTTGGAATACATAGGCAAGTTGATCAGAGAATCGATTCCTTAAAACTATGTTTGTTGGATCTCTGGTGGCCTAGTGGCTAGAAACTGTGCTGCAATCCCAAAGACACGTGGTTTGAATCCACCAGATGCTCTACTGGAGAAGGAGGAACAATCTCCTTTTGTGCCAACTGGATCTGATTTGACAGCAAACAACAAGAAAAAAAGGAGAAAAAAGAACAACAAACAAACTGTGCTTGCTCTTGGAAGTCTTTGGGTATCCTGATTTGAAGACCCATGAACTAGACGATTAGACAATGATAGCTTTACTCTGTAAAAATTAAAATGTCCAGAAAGCACCATGTATAAATTGATTTGAGAAGCTGGAAGTGAGATGTGACTGACAGATTCTTGTTTTTCTTCTATAATCTAATAAATACATCCTGTATTTATAAGCAGAGTGGAGGGATGGGGACACTTTATAGCAGAACAACTGGGAATTCTTAGGTATCTATTATAGGTATCTATTCAGTGGTCAGAGAACCAGGGAATGGGGTAAGAAGACACTATCTCTCTATGTGCTGAATGCAAGTCCTCAGGTATAATTCATTTGAATGGAAGCCATAGTCTTCACAATTGCTTACTATATGTCAGAAAGATGGGCAATGAGTAGGGATGATAGAAAGAGAATTGATGTCTTTGAGCTGTGGTGCTGGAGAACAGTGTTGAATATTCTATGGACTGCTAGGAGAACAAACAGATTCATCCTGGAGAGGGTTTAACCAGGCTGCTCCTTGGAGGCAAAGATTGTGAAGCTTCATCTGACATATTATGGGCATGCTACAAAAAGTGCCCAATCCTTGGAGAGGGACATCATGCTTGGGAGGGTGAAGGGACAGCACAGGAGAGGAAGACCCTCGATGAGATGGATTTATACAGTCACTGGGGAAATGGGGGTAGGTGTGTCAGAGACAATAAGGTTGGCATAGGATAGAGCAGGGTTTAGGGCTGTTGTACATAGAGTTGCTATGGGTCTCAAGCAACTCATCAGCACATAATAATAACCTCTAATATTAAAGCCCAGAATAAAGAAATGAAAATAATGTCAGCAACAGCATAGTGGAACAAGAAATAAGTTGAACAGGTACTTTTAGAGGAAGCAAGGTTCATTATTCCTAGGTAAAGTTGTGTGGGTGCTTTGTTTTGTTTTCTTTAGTCTTTTTCTGATAGACATCAACAGACTGGAGAAGAGAGTATTGTTTGGATCTCATGAGAGAGTTCTTTGACTATTTCATTTAGTTGAGAGTTGGGATACCTCTTCCTTGGCTCTACGATATGTGGGTGAATTGCTCAACCTCATAGGTTGTTGTCTTGGGGCCATTTCCATAGCTTCACAGGGAGCATGGAATCTTGTCAACTGAGCTTACCCTCCATCAACATTAGGGAAAGCTGGGGTTTGAGTCTCTGCCCCAGGGCTGTACGAGGAAGGAAACAACAACAACAAAGGCAATGGCCTGATTTTTTCTGTTTCAAAGTTGAACAAAGATTGTTGGAATAAGATTTTGGCTTCCTTAAAAATGATAGCGTGTCTGGCTTTACTCCACCTTGTTAACTTATTATTCCCACAAAACTTGGAAAGGAATTACCCATAATTAGGGTTCATTTTTTAGAGCCTGTTCTTATCTCCGTCTAGAGTCTTAAAGAGCTGGGATGGCCTAATGAAAAGAAGCTTCACTGCAATCCTAAAGGCATGTAGTTCAAATCCACCAGCTGTTGCACATGAGAAGGATGGGCAATCTCCTCCCATGCCATTAACTTACTGAAAACCTGCAGGAGGGTCATCTCTGGACCGGTTCTAACTTGATGGTACTCAACACATACACAACACATTGTGTTCTTTAGTGTTTGATATTCTTAGAACACATTATTGTTCTTTAGGATGTAGGCATACAACAACAACAACAAAAAAAAAACAAGAAAAGTATATTTTGTTAAGTACCATTGAGTTCTAACGATGTATAGCTGACCCTCGGACCCAAATAAAGTATAGAATTAAATAAAACTTAAAAGTCAATCAGTGAAAGCTACCACTAAACCCCATGCACTTTTATGTAAATATTTCCCCAAAAGTATTTACTCAAAAGATTAAATTTCCAAAATAACTATGAGATATCATCTCACCCCAGTTAGAATAGTAAATTTAACAGAACAGCAAGCAACAAATGCTGATGAGGTTGTGGAGAAACTGGAACCCTTATTCACTGTTGGTGGAAGAGTAAAATGTTGCAGCCACTGTGGAAGGCGGTATGGCGCTTTCTCAAAAAGTTGCAAATAGAGATACCAGCAATGTCACTACTGGGATTATAGCCCAAAGACACCATAACTGACACCCAAGCAGATATATGCACACCCATGTTTATTGCAGCTTTGTTCACAATAGCAAGGAGTTGGAAACAACCTAAGTGCCCATCAACGAACAAATGGATAGAGAAGCTGTGGTATATTCACACAATGGAATACTATGCTGCATTGACAAACAAGGAACTCATGCAATATTATTCAAAATGGGTGACTCTGGAGGACATTATGCTGAGTGAAGTATCCCAGTCACAAAAGGACAAATAGTGCATGGTGCCACTGTTATAAAACAGGACTGACATTGGGGTTGGGGGGAGACTGAGAAAGATGGGTTCAATAATGTATACTGCATTAAAATAGATGAGGGAGAAAACTGTTTAAAAGGGATATGTCATTAGGCATTTTTGTCATGATAGGAGTCCAGAGTGAAGGCTGCATAGTGGAGTGGACCTGGGGGGAGGGATTGTAAAACAATGAAAGAAGTTTTCCTTTTTCAAGAAGGTAGTGTACTAGGGGGGAGAGTTGGGAGGGGAGAAAAGTGCAACTATTAATGAATGGAAACCCAAAGTCTCTGTAAATTTTCATTGAAATTGATAATAAATTTTAAAAAATACTAAATTTCCAGTTAGTACTTTAATATGCTGTGTTTTACAACAGTTTATACTACCATGAGCCAAAAATTTGCCTAGATATAGATAATGTGGACAGTGCTCTTCCTTGAGCATTAACACTGACAACCGTCTTCTGTCAATGCCTGTTTCACAGTTGATCAGAGGCTCCAGTTTGGAGAAGTGAATGTCTCAAGGTCTCACGGTTCATTATCAGAACCCACGGCTCTGGTACTTTTCCACTATGCATCCTGCTTTTGCAGATAGACTGTTTACTGGCAGCTTTCTCCGAGGACCACCAAGTCAAGCACAGAAAAATCACATTTCTCTAAACTTCCTAGAGCCCAGGTCTCTCCTTCCAAATCTCTTCCAGCTCTCGCTTGCCAACTTTGACACATCTTGTAACAATAACCCCTGTGAGCTGCATTTTATGTGATGTGAGACAGGTGTGCAACTGTTGAATACATGTCTCAAGAGAGCTTATTAAAACAGCTAAGCCAATTAACTCTCTTAGAAACATGTAACCTTTTCCAGGGAAATACATCTGAGGCACAGGAGCTTGTGGGAACAAGTCCTTGGAGAGTGTGTCGCCTTTGATCAGAGAGGCCCATTCCCCAAAGTCATCCTGGCCCACAGGCTTGAAGACCTTAGGCCTTGGCGTCTTCAGCCAGAGAGAGGAGGGTTGTGGACTCGGGCCTGAATTCTGGATGCTGCTGAAGACCAGCCTTGTGTGCAAGAGCAGAGAGCAAGGAACTTAGATGAGAAGTAATTCATCCATTAGAGCTGATTCAGAAACTCAGCTGAAAATGACTCACTAGGCCTGAAGAGTGACTAATGTGAAAGCAGAGGATGAGCCTGCTTTACCTAGGCTGTGTCTCTGCTGTAGGAAGGCAGGCAGGTTAGCCTACAGTCAGATGTAATGAGGCCAAAGGTGGGCTTTAACACTAGTGTCTGCAAGTTACCTCTGTCATTTGTTTTTGTTATGTCCTCTTGAATCATCTGCAACTCATAGCGACCCTAT